CCGGGGGATCGGCAGGGCTGGGGGAGCAGGGGCTGGGGGTCAGGATCGGGGGGATCGGCAGGGCTGGGGGAGCAGGGGCCACAGGTCAGGATTGGGACCAGTGCCCGACCCAGTTGCTCCCCTGTGGGGTGTGGCCAGGGTGGAGCAGGCCCCCAGCTGCCGGGTTTCTCCCCCTCCTCTCTCCCGGGCAGGGCTCCAATGGCGCCTTTGAGCTGCAGCTGCAGGGCCCGGACGCCGCCTCCTTCTCCGTCTCGCCCACGAGGATCACGGGCACGGGGGCAGTGCAGGTCCTGGTGAAGCACCCCAGCACCGTGGATTACGAGCGGGTTCATGTGATAACAATGGAGGTGAGAGCCCCAGAGGCTGCAGGGGGACAGGCCCCAGAGCCAGGCTGGGCCAGCTGGCGGTCCGGGGGGCAGGCCGTCTCCAGCGTGCCTACGCTGAGGGCTGCAGGGGGGCTGCATCCCATTGGGCTGGGCAGGCGGGGAGGTGCCGCTCCCCCTGGCCTTGGGGCTGCCCGACGATCCTCCTTTGTGCCTGGCCACATTTGGCCGAGCCCAGAGCCCAGAGCCCCGGGGGCCGGGACCTGCGTCACTGCAGTGGGGGAACCATCCCTGTCCTTGGGGGGCGGGCACCCAGCGTGGGCAGGGCAGCTCCAGCCTCATTCCCCTGAGCCCAGCCACAGGCAGCCCCAAGGGGGATGGGGGGGATGGGGCAGACGCGGTCCCTTCCACTGAGTATGGGGGTGCTCGGCAGGTTTGGGGGGACGCGATCCACAGGCGCCAACTTTTTTTGGTGCCGGTGGGTGCTCGTGCCCGCCCCTGACTCCACCCCTGCCCCAAAGTCCCTCCCCCAACTCCGCCCCTCCCTGCCCCTATTGGACCCCTCCCCAAATCCCCACCCTGGCCCCGCCTCCTCCCCCAAGCATGCCGCGTTCCCCCTCCTCCCCCCCGGGGGCGCAAGCGCTGGGAGGGAGGGGGGAGACGCAGGACCCAGCGGCACGCTCAGGGGAGGAGGCGGAGGTGGAGGTGAGTTGAGGCTGCGGGGGGGCAGGGAGCTGCCGGTGGGTGCAGAGCCCCGGAGCACCCACGGAGTTGGCGCCTATGACGTGGTCCCTTCCCCAGGGGAGGGGGCTCAGTGGGTTTGGGGGTGACGTGGTCCCTTCCCCATGCTGCAGATCGTTGCCAACGACACCAGGAACCCCGGGAACTGCTGCTCCATCGCCACAGTGACCATCCAGCTGCTTGACATCAACGACCACAGCCCGGAGTTCGGGCAGAGCACGTACCAGCTGCAGGTGCCGGAGAACAGCCCAGCGGGCACCGTCATCTCCAACATCACGGTGAGGGAGCCCGCGGGGGCAGTGGCGCTCTGGGGCACCTGTGGGGGGTGGGGTTGTGGCAGGCACTGGGGGCCCTGGCTGGGGCCCAGCCCCCCCGATGGCCTCCCAGGGGCTGGGCCCCGCTGCTGCTGTGACCAACGGGGCCCTTCTGGCTTTTGCAGGCCACTGACCCGGACAGCGCCGGCTTTGGCAGGATCACCTACAGGCTGCTGCCTGAGAGCATGTACGTACCCTGCCGCGCCCCTCACTGCCACGGGGAGGTCCTGGCCGGGCTCCAGAGGGGCTGCTGGGACTGTGCCCGGTGGTCCCCAGGGACCCAGCCTGCCTCCAGCCCGGCGTGCCGGGAACGGATGGGTCCATAGGCACCAACTTTCTCGGCGCTGGTGGGTGCCCGCGCCCCGACTCCACCCCATCCCCGCCCCTGGCCCCGTCCCCATTCCAACCCCATCCCCAAAGTCCCCGCCCTAACTCCGCCCCCTCCCTGCTCCTGTTGGATCCCTTCCCCAAATCCCCGCCCCAGCCCCGCCTCTTCCCCCAGCACGCTGTGTTCCCCCTCCTCCCCGCCCCGCGAATCAGCTGTTCTCTCCCGCAGGCACCGCCCCTGCAGCTCCCATTGGCTGTGGAGCCGGTGCTCGGGGCAGGGGCAGCGTGCGGAGCCCTATGGGCCCCCCCGCCTAGGAGTCTGACCTGCTGGCCACTTCCGGGACGCAGCGCGGAGCCAGGACACGTAGGGACTAGCCTGCCTTAGCCCCGCAGCGCCGCTGACTGGACTTTTAACGGCCCGGACGGTGGTGCTGACCGGAGCCGCCAGGGTCCCTTTTCGAGCAGCTGTTCTGGTCGAAAACCGGACCCCTGGTCACTGTATGTCCCGCAGGCTGGACATCTTTGCGGTGAACGCCAGCAGCGGGGAGGTGCTGGTGCGGAACGGCAGCTTGCTGGACCGCGAGACCCGCCCGGGCTATTACCTCACCCTGCAGGCCGTGGACGGGGGGAACATGACCGGCTCCACCTACCTCGAGATCACACTGCAGGACACCAACGACAACGCCCCAGTCGTCAGCGGTTCCTACAACATCTTCATCAACGAGGAGCAGGAGAACATCAGCGTCCAGATCCAGGTGGGGCTGAGCCCTGGGGGCCGATGCCCTTGCCCCACTTCTCCAGGGGACTAGCCGGCCCTTGGCACCTTCCAGCCGGCCCCTTCGGCTGCCCCCTGGGGCCGTCTAAGGAGGCTCCTTTAACGGGGGCGCTGGGGCTTTCCCGGGGCTGTGGGGAGCCTGCTGGAGGCCAAGGGTCAGGGTTCCCTGGCTCTGTAACGGCGCCAGGGCTGGGTGGGTGGGATGGTGACCGGTTCCCAGGCATGAGGCGCCGTGCGCTGCTGGGCTTGTGGGGGGGGGCGAGGGGAGCTCTGTGGTGGGGTCCCTGAGTCCCGCCCTGAGCCCTCCGGCGGCCTCGTTTCCAGGCCTTTGACAACGACGAGCCCGGCACCAACAACAGCCGCCTGCGCTTCCAGCTGGAGCCCGGGGCCTTCAGCGCCAACTTCACCATCGACCCCGCCACGGGGGTGCTGCGCAGCCTGGGGGCGCTGGACCGCGAGG